TGCAAAAGGAAACGATGGATTTTTGAAAAACACCCTGCACCCCATGGGCCTTCAACAGCGACAGGCTGTTCTCGGGCAGGCTGGCAAGCACAGCTTGTCCTTGCCACGCGCCAGGGCCCAGGCAGGCGCTTAGCTCCGTTTCCAGGCAACACAGCAGCCGCCACCGCACAGAAAGAGCCTTGCTGTTATCTGTTGGTATAAAATTTTCTGTGCACCCTATCTCCATATATTCTGAATCACTCAAACTAGACATTGCAACACACATTGTCTGGCACAGAGGCTGACCCTGGGCACTTCCTGCCAATGAAAGCACCTCAACCGGAAGAGAAGGGTACACTTCTACTCTCAACTCCTAATGTCTCTATGGACAGTTCTCAGGCTGTGAGAATTAGCACATCCAGATGACTCTGTAGTAACTAGGGCCAGTCATGGTGCAGGCCTGTGTTGTTTACAGGTTTAGGTGGCATGTCTGTCCCTAAGGGCTCTGACTTTACTTAGCTATTTCCCTTCAATTGAAACACCCCCTCCTGGAGTAGGAAGGGAGGCTGATAAAATTCTAGAAGCAAATGAAACATACAAGGTTCAGGAAACTCCTGAAATTTACAATATTCACCAAGTCCTCCCCCAATGTTACATAAGCATTAAGGATGGCTGGGGAGTGCAGACTCTATGATTGGCCAGGTTGCCTTTAAGTTAGGCAGAGAGCTTTAAGGAAGCAGCTTTGTGAGTTCTCACCCATGCTGGGGTGGAATTTTCAGTGATGCAGTTACCTAAGTCACTCATGCTCTAGTCAGTAACCACAATAAACTTACTAGTTCACTAAACTAGACTTAGGTAGAGTCATTTGTTTGGTCTAACAGATGTTTGTTCATATCTCCCCAGGAAAAGTCAAATAATACCAGAACATATACATTATCACTGGACTGCAGCATGTGGAAAGTAGAGAAGCTTTCTCTACTACCCCAACCTAACGAAGGCTACAGACTCATCCAAGGCTATGAAGATATCAGCATGTGCTGGAGGCTCCTGTCCCCCTCTGTGTGGCCTCCCACAGTATGGAAAAGGCAGGTGGCAGGAGCTTGGAGAGACCCCCTCAGCACCAGGCTAATCACCATCTGTAAGATCCGTTCCAAGCTCTGGCCTCTAAGTCCTTTCAACACCTTCTGCACCTGGTGCTGAGACACTGATGAGTCAGCCAAGGACCAGTGGATGGCTGGATAATAGTTCACAAAGAGGCCACTCAAGAATATGTCACTTTGTATGGCACAATGAATTTGCAGTATGACAAGGCCATGGCCCTGAGAAGAGCAACTGACCTGGGAGAAGGTTACTCAGGTGGGCCTGACAGGGTTCCAGGGTCAGTACAAAGAGCAGGGTGGGGTCTGTGAGAGAAGACAAACAGGTGAAAGTGGAGGTCAGAGTGATGTGCCTTGGTGATGGATAAGAAGGTGTGGCCTGAAGCTAGAAGGCAAGAGATAGATCCCACAACCTCAAGAAGGGGCCAGCTCTGCTCCACCTTGGTATAGCCCAGGGAACCATTTCGGACTTCTCCCCATACTAAGACAGGCAGTTTGTGGTGTCTGTTTCAGGGCTTAGGGAACAAGCGCACTGATCCCTAATGGAGTTCCCAGTTGGTGGTGTCAATGGTGCCCAATTAATCTTACTTAACATGTTCTCCCTGTTAACTACGCCTGGTACTGTCAACCTTATTGACACTTTAGAATAGTGCGTTTTGAGCCCTAGCTAGGGTCTCATCTGCAGCTCCACCCACTTACAGTGAGCTCTGCCTGGTGACCCCTCAGCTCTCTGTATCTGGGTGGGATGGGGCAGGAGGGTATGGATCAAGGACCTACTATGACTATACAATCTTCAAACAGCCTCCTCAGCCAGCCATACTTGCTTTTCTCATGGGAGAGGAAAGGAGAGTTAAGCTTTATGGGAGTTCTGGGCAGCCATAGGCATGGCTGACCCAAGGATAACTCACTAAGGTACAGGTAGGATATCAGAGCCACAACAGTTGCCTGGGTGGAAACGCCTGTGCTGAGTCCTGAAGGCTGTGAAATCCTGGTCAGTCTGAATGTAGACTCCAACCCCAGCCCACTAGGGTGATAGTGGCCCTCAAATATTCTCAGGATGGCAGGTAAGTGTTTCAGGCCTGTTACTAAGCAGGACAGATTTGCCCTGCATTGTGCTTGGGCCCTGGACTAGTTTCTGATCTTGTACTCTGCTCTATTGCCCTCCAGCAGTGCCCACCAAGACAAAGTACCAGCAGTGCAAGTACATTCACAATGTTGTATAGCCATTGCACCATATACTTCTAGAACTCTCCATCTTCTCATGATGAATTGTGACCCCAGAAAATACCAGCTCCTCAAGCCCTCCTCAGCCCCTACCACTACACTACACAGTCTTTGTGATACTGACTGTGACCTACTGTGTTAACTTTGTATACAGTATGAGGAGTCTTTTGTCACCTCCCTTCCCTCCCCTCCCCTTTTCTTGGAGGTACTGTGGATTTAACCTAGCACCTAGAATATACTAGGCAAGTGTTCTACCACTGAGCTATATTCTCAGCCCTGTCTTTTGTAACATTCTTACTTCACTGAGCATAATGTCCTCATGGTCATCCACTTAGTGGATAGGTGGATAGGTGACAGCATTGCCTTCTTTCTTAAGAAAGGTGACATGTTTTAGAAATGGATGGGTAAAAGCTGTACACATGTGAATGTGCCTGACATCACTGAGCTGCATGTTAGAAAGTGGCAAGATGGCGTTTTATGTGTATTTTACTAAAAATAAAACAGTTGATGGGATATAAGACTTTTGCCTCCTGGGAGATTGTTACAACACCTCTTATTTATGTGGTACCTGATATGTGCAGAGGATAGACATTTCCTAAGTGACCCACATTGAGCTCTGACCTCCAACCATGACACACATAGAGGTCAGGCACAACTCTGCCCTCTTCTCTCGCATATCTGGAGACTCCAGAGGGAGATTCTGGCTAGTTTCAGGGTCAAGGTCTCCCAAGGTTTGCTACAGAATATGTTGTGGAAGAAGCTAAAGCTTCCCACTGCCTAACCCACATGGCCCGAGATAGCATTTTGTATCTAGAAATCTCTCAAACATCTAGTCAGAAACTCTATACTTTTAATGAGAACTAGTGTTTGAATAGCTACCACCCAAAATACTGGCAATTGAGTGAGATTTATACACACTTCTTACCCCAGTAGTTGAGCATGAGGGGCCACAAGCTAGATCCTAATTGCAGTGAAGCCAGGATCTCACTGTCAGGGTGATGTGTAAGAGTTTAGTTATGTTAGGCTGAGCAATTTTCCACATAAGTTACTGACATTTCATGCCTCCCCCCCCCCCCCACATCCCAGGTAGTGAACAGAAGAAATTTACCTAGCTGGATCACTGGAAGCCCTCTCTGTCTTCCATTTTGTCACCAACATGTCAGGGAGCAAATCCCAAAGCTCCCTCATGTCCTTGAGACAGGTTCAACAGAATCATCTTTTCACATCACTCTGTTGCACAACAGCTTTCCAAAGAGACCATGTGCATTTGCACTCCAGGAGTTTAGATCGACCCTGCCCTCTTTCCCCACAAGGAGTCACCATTTTCTAATTGGTAGCTGACTTAGGAAGACAGTGCTTGGAAGTGTGTACGAGTTGGGGAACTAGATCTGGGGCTCGAGATTTCCTAGACCTTTACTTGCTGAGGCTGCCCTGACTTGTGTTCTCTAATCTGTCATAAGTGAGTTTTCCCTTCTGAATAGTGCATGGAGTAATTACTGCTTAGAAATCCAACATTTTCAGTGTCTTCCCACCTCTTCCCTCCAGTGCTGGGGATCAAACCCAAGACCTTGCATAAGCCAGACAAGTGCTCTACTGCTGAACTACACTCCTGACCTTAAGTATCATTTTAGAAGCGGAACCAGAAACTCAGGTCTACTTAAGACAACTGGAAATTACAGCTCAGGCATGGGACACCCAATAATGAAGCAAGCCAAAAAAATTTCCTAAAATTTACATTTAAATTTAATCTGCAGTCAGGGCTGCCATATTCTGTATTGTTTCTCACTGTTTCTCTGAATAATGAGTTGAACCAGCTGAACTCTGGCCATAACCTGAGGACACTATAGGACTCTGAGGAGCAGGCCTGAGCAGTTCTGTCCAGGGAGGCAGGGTCAGTGTGAGGAAACCCAGGAGCCTCTGCTGCAGAAGGGTATTGTGGGAGGGGCATCAGGACTTGAAACAGCACTGGCTACATTCAAATATATCAATGTATCTTCTCCAAGAATCCCAACACCCAAACACAGACCCCAGTCTGCAGCATAGTGCCCTTTCCTAATTGTTTCCAGAGCTATCTATTATGGCTAGTGTACATAAATGCTGATACGTTGTTTTTGGTTTTGGTTTTTCGTCTCTTGCCATGAGAACTTTGACTAACCACAAATGATAATTCTGTCCACATTTCATGCCCTGGTGTACTTAGATTGGTGGACAGGACAGAGAGAAGGGGGAAGGAAATAGACAGTTGAGACCAGAGTCCCCAGGCCTCCATAAATGAAGGTCCTCTAACCCTGGAATGTCCAAATTTGGGCCATACAATTCTCCAGACCCTTGAGATGCTGGATATTTTCAGTTCTACCTTATCCAGTGCACTTGCTGAGCGGTTGGAGATTCAGAAAAGGTTCCAGCCCAAATGCGGTACATCTCAGTCCTGAAACTTAATGTAGTTTGGAGCTCCATGCGTCAGCTCACTGGAAGGAAACTCACTCCTGACCACTGAATAGCATGGGGGGTAAGGGTCTGGAGCCAGTAACTCTAGCCACTGCAGGGGGCACAAGACACAACCCTGATCTCTAGTGGACATGCACTCCTCTGACTGGTGCATCCTAATAGACGCCGGATGTGGCCAGTTGCCCACCCCTCCATGATCCCCACTTCCACCTCTGCTCTGCCCTTGGCCCTGCGGCCCGTACCCAAACTCACCCGTTCCTCTTCTGCGCGTATGTCAGGCATGGTGCTCAGACACAGGCCGACGGCTGTGACCGCCACGAAGGCCACCGAGACGTAGGCGAAGAGCTTGCCCGCCAACCCAGAATGCGGGTTCTCCACCATATCGCGCAGGCGCCTTCTGCCACGCTCCAGCCGCCCAGGCCCCAGGGCGCGCGCCGGGCTCCCCTGCGCCCCACGGCCGTTCGATGTGACGCGCGCCTCGGCGGCCTCCTCCTCGCGGCGGCGCAGGCGGCGTAGGCAGCAGCGCTCCAGCCGCGCCTCGTCGATGCCCCAGTAGGCCAGTTCATCGCGGAAGGCCAGCGCGCACGGGCCGCGTAGCAGCCGCAGCTTGTCGGCGCGCAGCAGGGCCACGATGGCGCGGAAAGCGCACGGGCTGCGATCAAAGAAGAACTCGTCGCGGCTCACGTCGTAGTCGTCACACACACGCAGCAGCTCGTCGTGGCCGCGGCAGGCTCGCAGGCGCTCGAGGCGCGCGAGGGGACAGCGCGCCAGCGCGGCCCAGGCCAGGCGCACTCTGCACCCCCCGACGTTGATGATGACGTGCCGAGCTCGGGTCGCTCGGCCTCCACGGCCTCCTGGCCCTGCGCCGCCGGGCTCTAGGCCCGGGGCCTCCGCGTGCCCCCGGAGCAGGGCCATGGGTCCATATGATGGCCGCGCCTGGGAACTGGCGCCAAGGTGAGGGTGCCGGGCAGCGATCAGGAGACTGGGCCTGCAAGAGCAAAAAGGGCGTCAGGACTGCAGGCTCTTGGAGAAACCAGCCTAGCCAAGGATCCAAGGGCTGGGGAACCAGGGATTTTCTATTTAATCCCAGCACTCGGGAGGCAGAGGCAGGCGGATCTCTGGGAGTTCAAGGCCAGCCTGGTCTATAGTGCGTTCCAGGACAGCTGGGGCTACAGGGAGACCCTGTCTCAAAAAGACCAACCCCCCCCCCAAAACAACAACAACAAAAACCTAAAAAAAAGCCCTCATTTAAAGTAAATGACGGGCTAGAGATGTGGCTCAGCAGTCAAGAGCACTGGCTGCTCCTGCAGAGGACTAAGATTGGGTTCTCAACACCAACATGGTGGCTAACAACTATCTGTAATTACAGTTCCAAAGGAGCCAACGCCCTCTTCTGATCTCTGTAGGCAATGAGTACACTTACATACATGCAGGTAAAACACACATAAAATTAAAATATATAAAAAAATTTTAGTGAATGATAAACACTGAGCACTATGTATGAAATAAGAGACGTAAAGATACGATCATTGTATGTAAAGAATCAGGGGCAGTTTCCCTTAGAGCTATTCACAAATGAGGAGTGGTCACAAAGGAAAACTGCCTGAATCTCACAGCAGTTTGTATTATACCAGGCCTCTCTGTGCTTATGCATCTTTGACATCTCCATGATGGAAATGGTTTGCTCTGCTTGAAACAAGCCTCCAGGAAATTTTACTGCACAGCTGGGGTTGAGAACCACCAATCAAGAGAGATGGAAACCCATGTGGTGCCTGATTCTTCAGTCAGCCTTGGTTTAAGTCAGAGGTACTCTTTGAAACCCACAGAAAAATTTCAGATGGTCTGTGAGCCTTTAGGTATATGCATCACCTTTTGGCATATATAATTTTTTCTGTGAAGGGTCCACTTTTTCTAGAGGATGCTATAAAAAAGGGGGGAGGGCGATACATTACTAACATCAAAGACTGACTGCAAAGAGACTTCTACTACTTGTTTTCCCAGAGGGCATCCCTACCCCTTCCAGTTTACTGTTAAGGTGCCTCTTTGCTTCCTGGAATGGAGAAGTCAGAAGTTTAGCAGAGGCTTTCAGAGCTGTGGTAACAGCTGCAAAGGGTAAGGAAGACAGGCAAGTCCCAGTTGGTTGAAGATGGAGCTACCCACCAGCAAAGACATCTTGGATGTCTGTTGGAGGACATGGCCCCCTCAGTGTTATAGTGGAATACAGGCCAGAAAAATCAGAATCATCAGCACACTTGCTAGGAAATTAATTTCTCAGCACTAACCATAGTGCCTTGTGTGATAAATAAGTTGCAGAATAAAGCACTCCAAAATCCATCCCTACTTTAAAGTAGGCAATGAAAAAACAGGTAAAAACTTTCAGAGCCAACTTTTGTGGAACTTTGGGAACTAACCAATAGCCTTCAGTTTCTATGAGGAACTTAAGAAAAAGCAACTGAGTCTTAGTAACAATGATCTTTGCGGTGACTGAACTTACCCTGTATCCACACTGTTCCCAGCCCAGGGAACTCACTCTATGTCCACCTCCTTAGGTATGGGAATTTACCCCATGTCTATCCCTTGATCTCAACTCAGGGAACTCACCCCATGACCAATCCTTAGTTCAGAAAACTCACCCCACAATCACCTCCTGCTCTTAGCCCAGGAAACTGAGTCCACGTCTATCCTCTTATCCTAACTCAGGGAACTCATACCACACTTAACCCTGATCTCAGCTCAAGGAACTCACACCATGATCACTCTCTGATCTCAACTCAAGGAACTCATCCCACCTCTACCCCCTGCTCCTAGCTCAGGGAACTCACTGGGTGTCTGCCCTATGTTCCAAGCTCAATGATGGCCTTGAAAATCACAGCCCGCACTTCCACCTGTACTGGAAGAACAGGCCTCAGTTGCCAAGTGTCATCATTCCTGAAACCTGACTGGCAGCTCCAGGAAGACTGATCCAAAGGTTTTGCCTTTATCTGTCATACCAGGAACAGCTTAGGAATGTCTTTCAAAACCATTCATAGGAGCATGGTTTTTAGCTGTTGTTGCCTGAGGCAGCAAGACAAGCAAAAGCTTTGGCGGACAGGCTGGGGATGGTGTGCTTTGGGAATAAGGACTTGGAAAATTCTCTGGGATTTAGGATGCTGTGCACATGCCTGGGCTGTGTGCATACTTAGTAAAGACCAGAAGAGCTCCCAAGGTTCTCCTAGGCTGGCCTTCAGTTATGGAAGCTGGTAAGTGGAAAAGAGGCTGTGTGTTGGTGAAGCCCCAGCACACATGGCCCATCTGCAAAGATTGGGTTTGCTTTTCCTTCCAGAAATCTGTGCCTAATCATTTACTAAGCTAATGGAATGGAGATATGCCCACATAAGACAAGGCATACACTTTCCAAAATAAGTCCAGTAAACTTCAGACTATGCAAACAAACATCAGTAACCTCAACAAATTCCCAGGTAGGGATCTGATTTCCAGAACTGCCAGTTACACTATTCAGAACATTCAGTTTTCAACAATAACGACAACAAAAACTACAAATTTTATGGAGAATAAAAAAGGATGGCTTCAACACAGGAAAAGAACAACTAAAAACTAGAATGCACTGTCCCCAAGGAAGCCTAGACATCATTTCACCAGACAAGACTTTATATAAACTAAATCCAGTATGTTCAAGAGTTGCCCTGGGGTAGTGATGCATGTCTGCAATCCCAGCACTCGAGAGGCTGAGGCAAAGAAAACAGTCACAAGTTTAAGGCCAGTCTGGACTATATAGTGAGTTCCAGGTCACTTTGGGCTACAGTGTGAGAACCTCTCTCAAAAACAAAAAGTCAACAAACAAAAAAAGCTAAAAGAAGGCATGCTTAAAGACATAAAAGAATTATGAGAATGATATCTCATCAGATCGTACCAATAAGGAGACAGAAATTATAAAATAAAGTTACAGAATTCTAGAGTTGAAAAGTGTAATGATAAAATGGAAACTTCCAGAATGTCTCCCAGTTACAGATTTGGGCAGGCTTCAAACAGCATCCCAGGGTGAAGACAGGTCTCATGAGAGGAATCCTTAAGGAATAGAGAGGAAACTGAAGATCAGGAAGCAGAGCTGAGAGGAAAAGCAGAAAGAGCGCTTGAAAAAACAGTGCTAAAAAAAATTCCCCAATTTGATGGGGCTGGAGAGATGACTCAGCAGTTAAGAGCACTGGCTGCTCTTACAGAGGACACAGGTTTGGTTCCCAGCACCCACATAGTGACTAACACCCATCCTTAAGTCCAGTTCTAAGGGATCCACTGCCCTCTTCTGGCCTCAATGAACACCAGGCATGCATATGATGCACTTACATACGTGCAGGGAAAACACTCATACACATAAATATAAATTTGTTTTTAATTCCCAAATTTGAGAGTCAGCTTTCTTCAGGGATGCAGCCCCTAAGAGGCTACCCATGACCTACTAGGTGGTCCTGCATCCATGTGCATCCATGCTCACACTGGCAGCACCAGGTGAACTCAGTGAGTTAAAAAAAATCATGAAATTGAAAGAGGAGAGAGGCAGGGACAGGAGAGGAATTGAAGGGGAGGGAATGGGGATTGGACTTGATCAAAATGCATTATATGTATGTATGAAATTCTCAAACAATGAAATCTTCAAATTTGATGAAGACCATTAATCTATACATCAAGAAACTCCAAGTTAAGTAAATTCAAAGGTCCACACTGGCATGTCCCATCAACTGTCTAAAAACAAAGAACAAGAGACTCCTTTGAAATCAGTGAGAGAGACAGCATGTTGTATATTCAGGGTATCTTCATTAGGATAAATTGTCAGCGTTTCATCAGATTCCCCGGGGGCCAGCAGGGAGTGGGTTACATTCAACATACAGGGAGACATCAAGGTGCACCCATTAGCTTGGTTGTAATCAAACAAAGGGGCTAGGGAAACAGTCTAGTATACAAGCTACACAGTGGCGATAGTTCACAACACTGTTAGTATATTGAAAAAGAACCCCACTGAATTGTATACTTTAAAATTATTAAAATGGTAAGAATGTTATGAATTTTATCTCAATTGAACAAATTTCTGAGTGAGTAGGTCCAGGTGTAATCTAGTACTTTGCATTTGAACAACAGTACTTAACACGCTTTGAAAATCATTGCCTTTGATCGTCTACACTAAGGCCTTACCTTTCATCAGGGCAACACAGGAACTAAAAACACACATGTCCAAGTGGGTGTTCAATGTGTGTTTCAGAGAATCCACTGGGCCCAGATATGATTCCTCTAATGCCTATAGGACAAGTTGTAGTCTAAGAGAAGGAATCAGAGAGAAGACCAACAGTGTGGTTTACACACTGTGAGATCCATCTTGATTGTCAGCTCGGGAGTCAGAATCACCTGGGAGTCACATCTCTAGGTGTGTCTGTAAGGGCATTTCCAGATGGCACCAGTCCATTGCTTGAAGCCCTAAACTGAGTGAAGTGGAGAACACAGCATAGAACCAGAATTCACCTCTCTTTGCTCCCTGATTGTGGATGTAATATGGCCAGAATCCTCCCATTCCTGCCACCACACCTTCCTTGCCATGAGGAGCTGTACCCTCAAACTGTGAGTCAAAAGAAATCTCTTCTGTCTCAAGTTGTTTTGCCATTTATTTTATCAAAACAAGAAAAGTAGCTTATACACACATGGCATGCCAGCAGGTTGTGCCTGCCAGTAAAGCACTGGGAAGTTTCTTCTGAACATGTTTTTGTGTGACCAGGAGGAGGAGACAGGAATTTCCCATAATTGCTGGGAATGAGTATTCTGTGACCTCTAAGTTTCTTCTTTCAGGACATATTGGTTTTCATTTCCATGTGCCAGCCACAAGATGCCAAAGATTTCCATTTGCCCTATACTTCAAGGATGGGGTGCCCAGTGAAGCATAGCTGTGGGGCTTCCCAGAGCAGGGCCATGGCTTACCACATTGAGGGAATCTGGAAGTGTTAGGGC